TGCTCCAGAGCTCGGGGCTTCACCGGTCAGCTGAGAGGGAAGTCTGATCTCCCCTCACCGAGTGGTGTTTCCTGCATCCTTTCCTGTAGTGGCAACTGGGGAGGTTACAGGGGTGAACGAGTGGCCAGGTTCACTGGAAATGAGGAAATTACTTCCCTGTGTTTGTCTCCACCATAATAACTCTGCCCAGGAGTGACTTTAGTAATGTCAGTGGTTGGCTGGGGGATCACACATACAGCATCGGGATTTAAACCAGAAAGAGCATCATTAATAAGAACCCTGAATACCCAGGGCTGTATCCAGGGAGGTCACTACAGGGTCCCCATCCACAAAAAGCAAGTCAGCAGTAAACAAAGACCCACTTGCTTCTTTCCATTGGGTCTCCATGCAAAATCCTTTATCAACTTAGCTATATGGGCAATTTGAAAACCGGAAACCCAGTGATCTGTTTTGTTTAATCACTCCAAAGTGACAAAGCTGTGTTAGTGCGGCGACAGTTATTTCATACCCACTTGGGATGTGGGTGCAAAACATCTTTTCCTTTCACTTAACCCACGGACAGGAGCTGCCCCTTCGCACCACTGCAGCTGCAGCTGTGACAGGAGCAAGGAGGAGATGGGGATGAGCATCCTGCATAGTTTTGGCAGCAGAGCTGTGAGGCAGGGTAAGAACAGCTCTGCACCAGCTCCGGAGGGGGACCTGCAGGCTCTTGTCCTCGCAGCTGAGGTGCTCATGTGCTAGGTGACATTAGCCATCTTTCAAGCTTTTAATTCCTTTGGCTTTGTATTTAAAGCACATCTTGGGCATTTCGAAGCCTGCCGTACAACATGTCTTGTCCGTGGTTGCTTTTCATGGGACCTGTGGGGCTGCGTTTTCAGGGCTGTGGTAGTACAATCTGGAGCTGTGAGAGAAAGCCCTCGGGGGCTGATCCGTGGCTGCGGGCCAGTTTCTGCATAAACTGGTCTTATTTTTAAAGTCCATTTTCTCCAGTACACTTTTTTTTGGCCTGCAAAAGACTTCTTCATTTAAACCGGAGAACGTAACACTCTCTCCTTTCAGTTGGTCCTTTGGACACGAGCCAGTAGTGCCCACAACAGCTGTACCACAGTTTAAACATTCAGTCTCTAATGGTTTGGGGAACATTAGGGTTTTTAAGGCTTCAACAGGTCTAGAGTAAATAGTGGTCAATAAAGAGTAGCTCTTCTTTGTGTCCCTGTGCTCTCAGTGCTCTGCGCTAGAATAAAGCATGCTTAGAATATAATCATTGCAAAATTAATATCCATGAAAGGTTCTTTTTTCGAAGAGAATCACAGAGAAACCTGTTTGACTTAAAGAAGAGTTTGCAAGAGTTCAACTCACAAGAGCCTGGTAACAGGCATGGGGAAGCTTGCATGTGGTGTCTGTGAGAGACGTGCGTGTCCTGGCCTTGTGTTGCTCCCCACGTGTGTGTTTAATGGTGGAACAAATAAATTACAGGTATTGCTTTCTCTGCTGTCTTCTCCTACCCATCTATTAATGAGCCACACAAGAGGCAATTAGATTTTTTTCTCTTCCTTGGTTTCCATTATTGTGTGGAGTCAAAAGCCCATGTGTGCTGATACATGCATAGAGTTCTGGACCCAAATGAGGTGGAAACCACATTAGCAGTGATGGGCGATGGTTGGGCATTGCCCTTGTTAGCGGTTGAACCCAATGCTGAGGACTGTCACTGCCTAAATGATAGAAACAAATTAGTGCTGGTGGAGCTGTCAAGCCATATGGAAGGAACTGCTCATTTCTTTCAAGTTGTGTAGATGTGGGTGAGGAAAAACAATCCATGTGGAGCTCCTTATCATGAAGGAAAGCCCATGGGCATCACAGCGCTTCTGTGGCTTTGGGTCAGTGTCCGCAGGCACCTTGGACAAGGAAGGGTTAAACTGCTCTGCTGCCTGCTGGCCACTTGGACTTCATCAACAGCACTTCATGCCACTGTGCAGAAACAGTTTGTAAGTCATTGTACTCTCTGTAGGGAGTTGATTAACCCCTTCCGATACCCTTCCATGTGTGCGGTGTCCCTTGGCTCCTAGGTGGGTGATCAGGACTGCAGGGTGCTGGCACATCCCATGCCTGCTGCAGCTGAATGGGAGGAGACAAGAGGGACACTGGGATAAGAGAGGGGGAGTCTTCATAGGAAAAACAATGGAAGTGCCAGCCTGGCAAGGCATTGCTCTGAAAACCAGGATTATATAAAAGCCTGGCTGCTCTGGTGCTTCTCATTAGCAGGGTTGGCTGGAGCACAGGGTTTGTTACAGTTGTCACCTTTTTGGCTGGAGCAAGGTGGCCGTTAGTCGATGTTTCAGTTGTAAATTGCTTTGCCTCGAAGCAGAAGTCTCGCTGAGATTTGTTTTATTTCCAGCTCCGTTGTCAAAGTTAGCTCATGTTTTGGAAGAGACAAGGAATAGTATTAAAGGGTCACAAGTTAAGCAGCCCAGCTCCGAGGTTACTCCTGCATGGCAAGCCAGAGCTTTAAAATACGCTTGTTAATCTGACTTAGGGCCATTTGTTAGGGATTCATATCTTTACTTCCATGGGGAAGTTTCATAACATTTTCCTACCCATCGGTATTCTATTAAAACTGTGTTGTGTAACCTAAAAGCTTTTCTGCTTCTCATGGTTTCCTCTTGTAGCTAATTCAGAATGCCCTAGATAGCAATTTCGGAGTAAATGCATGCAGGCTGCATGGGCTTGATGTTGTTTTCTTATAAATTCAAAGCAAGATTTGAAATTCAGCCTTATTGTCAATTTTCCTTTAAATAAAAGTTGCCTAATGACATGATTTAAGGATATTTATTGAGTGGCATTTTTATCTTGTGGGAAAGCCTGTGCCTGTAGTTGTGTTGTAGTTCAAATGGCAGTGAAATCCGTTACCATATGCATTTAATACTTCTAGTTCTCTTTGTATATAGTGTTAGAGAGGATAGATTAGTGGAGTCAGTGAAAATACACGTGTGGGTCCTGCAGTGTTGGTCTGATCTTCTTGCTGTGTGAGCTCTCCGTTGTAATAAATAGCTCTTACAGGACTGACTGTAAGTGGGTGTGATTTGAGGTCTAGAGCCCGTAACAGAAGCAGCGAGGTTCAAAGTGGACAAAAAATGAAGTGTTGTTAGTAGAGGAAACAATATTAGGGCTACAGATGAAGAACAGTCTTTGGATGAGTGGAAAAACGTGCTTCTCAGGAAAGCAGGAGGCTCACTGAGCTTGGATAACTGCTAAACACAGGATTAGACCACTGAACCTCTGCCTGCAGCACGCTGTTCAATCTTGCATGACTTCTGAAGGGATATACATCTTGACAGGCAGCTCATCTGTGGCTTGCCAGGAGGCCATCGCCAAGATGTTCTCCTTTGGCCACGTTGCTGTATGGGATCTATCTAATAAGAGGCAGCCATTGGCCTGAATTGCTCACAGGCAGTGTGAAAGCAGCAGGGATCACTTGGGGGTGAGTAGGCAACAAGGTGAAGTCGAGCAAGCAAGGGGAAGGGGTGGGGGATTGGTGGTGACCCATGACAAGAATTGTCCTTCCTTCCCCAGCCTGGCTGAAATCCCTCCCTCCCTCCTCCAAAAGGAATTACATTTGTTGGGATTCAAATCCACACGAGCCGCTCCAAGCAGAGGCGGGTCGCTCCTGTGCTGTCCGCTGGACTTCAGGTTTCAGCGTGCACACATCTGGTTTGGGAAGATAGCAGCAATGAAATCCAGGTGTGCGTTTATCCCTTAGATTCAGCGTCTGCCCACAGTAATGGGAAAAATGCAAGTGCAGGCCCAATAAACCAGGACTTGGGCTGGGTCTGACCAGCTGGTAGAAGCATCACTCCTGCTGCCTGGGATTTCCTTTTAGTGCTGTGGTTAATTGCCATCGTATTTGAGTCATTCTCTCTTCTGCTTGTCCTTTGGATCTTAGCTCTTTGCTAATCTTTATGACTTTTTTGCATGTGTTTTATCGCCTTATTACAGATACCAAGTTCTGCTGCTGATAATGTAGGTGGATCCTATACTGAATGAAGCAGTCATGTCGGGTCCTGAGGCACTGTCATGACATGGAATCAGCCTGTGATCTTTTTAAATGCCCATTGTTTGGTGTAAACTTTGGCCTTGTGGGTTTGGGGGAGGGGGGTGGTTTGCCTTGGTTTTGGTTTCCTTTTCCAGTTTATAATCCATGTTATCACCCTGGTTTGCATGAGCCTTTCATTATATCAGCTCCTGCCTGAGCTACTGATGACTGTAAAGCTGGTTTGTCTGCTTAAGTTGTGGCTTTCCATTAGGCTGGTGAATGTAATTGTAATCTCGCTATCTTCTTGTTTTGAAATAGCAATTTCCACTCTAAGGATGCTTTTATCCTAGTGTATATGCACATCCTGTCTTACCTGGAACTACTGCTCGGAACCTCAGATGCATCTTACTTTCTATTGGCATATTTAAATGACAGGGGGACCATAGCTTTGCATTACAGCACTTGAGAGAATGTATTTGGCATCTTGACTAAAACACTTAGCAAGGGTTTTTAATGCTTAAACAGCATTTGGGTATTAAGTAAGATGCATGATTGCTGTGTGCATGGATCCTTCTTTATTGCTCATTATTAAATCCACGGGAAGCAGACAAATAGGAAGAGTTTTGTAATGAACCTTTCATGGGCTTTTTTCCTGGTGATGCTTCAGTGTTGTGAAAAAATGTGCTTACAGTGGACTTACTGCTCAGTTGTGCTGACGGTGCTGCCTCTGCAATGGGCTGTAGTAATCCCAAATCCGCGGTGGATGTTTCTTTCACCAGTTTACAATGCATAATCCTCTTAATTTCCTTGAATAGCAGCTGGTATTGCTACAACCTGTGCCTAAGCCCAAGAACAGCTTAGTCAGAAAGCCTTTTGGCCCTGCGAGCAAGGAGGAGTTTTCTCCCAGCATGGGCTAACTTTCCCAAGGACAGCACTGCTGAGACTTTAACTTCTCCCATCTCTCTTCTAGATGCAGCAGCTGTTCTATGAAAACTATGAGAAGAACAAGAAAGGTTATATCCGAGACCTGCGGAACAGCAAGATCCACAGAGCCATAACACTGCACCCCAACAAGAACCCCCCGTACCAGTACAGGCTGCACAGCTACATGTTGAGCCGCAAGATCGCAGAGCTGCGCCACCGCACCGTGCAGCTGCACCGGGAGATTGTCCTCATGAGCAAATACAGCAACACAGAAATCCACAAGGATGACCTGCAGCTGGGGATGCCACCCTCCTTCATGCGATTCCAGCCCCGCCACCGGGAAGAGATCTTGGAGTGGGAGTTTCTGACAGGAAAGTATTTGTATTCAGGTGCCGACGGGCAGCCCCCTCGGAGAGGAATAGACTCTTCCCAGCGTGAAGCACTGGATGACATTGTCATGCAGGTGATGGAAATGATCAATGCCAACGCCAAGACCCGGGGCAGGATCATAGACTTCAAGGAAATACAGTATGGCTACCGCAGAGTGAACCCCATGTACGGAGCGGAGTACGTTCTGGACTTGCTGCTTCTATACAAAAAGCATAAGGGGAAGAAGATGACCGTCCCCGTCAGGAGGCACGCGTACTTGCAGCAGACATTCAGCAAGATCCAGTTCATGGAGCACGAGGAGATGGACGCCAAAGAGCTGGCCAGCAAAATCAACCAGGATTCCGGATCCTTGTCTTTCCTCTCCAACTCGCTGAAGATGTTTGTTCCCTTCCAGCTCAGCAGATCGAAAGTGGAGAGGAAGGAACTCAAAGACAAGAAGATCAACATCCTGATTCCTCTCTCCGGGCGCTTTGACATGTTCACGAGGTTCATGGGGAATTTTGAAAAGACATGCCTCATTCCAAACCAGAACGTCAAGCTGGTTGTCCTGCTTTTCAACTCCAACTCCAACCCTGACAAAGCAAAGCAGATCGAGCTGATGAGAGATTATCGCTCCAAATACCCCAAGGCTGACATGCAGGTTTTACCGGTGTCGGGGGAGTTCTCAAGGGCACTGGCTCTGGAAGTTGGATCCTCTCAGTTCCAGAATGAGTCTTTACTTTTCTTCTGTGATGTTGACTTAGTGTTTACGACAGAATTCCTCCAGCGGTGTCGAGCCAATACAGTTTTGGGTCAACAAGTATACTTCCCCATCATTTTTAGCCAGTATGATCCAAAGATTGTTTATAGTGGAAAAGTTCCTAGTGACAATCATTTTGCCTTCACCCAGAAAACAGGTTTCTGGAGGAACTATGGCTTTGGTATTACCTGTATTTACAAAGGTGATCTTCTTCGAGCAGGTGGCTTTGATGTCTCCATCCAAGGTTGGGGCCTTGAAGACGTAGACCTGTTTAACAAAGTCATTCAAGCTGGCTTAAAAACTTTCCGAAGCCAAGAGGTTGGAGTGGTCCATGTGCATCACCCTGTTTTCTGTGACCCTAATCTCGATCCTAAACAATACAAAATGTGCTTGGGGTCCAAAGCTTCAACATATGGGTCCACACAGCAGCTGGCTGAGATTTGGTTTGAGAAAAATGACCCAAATTTGGGGAGAAGCAGCAATACGAATGGCTCCGTGAGGACAGCCTAATGTCCAGCTATGCTGGAAAAGACTTTTTTTTTAATTATCTAATTTATTTTTTGGGAAAAAAAAAAAAAAGAAGAAAGTTTTTTGATAATTCACTTTTAAAAGACCACACAGGATATATTTTAGAAATCATCGTTGTTTTCGTACAAAGCTCTCATTTGGAGAAGAACAAAGCCCTCGGGTTTCTTTGTTGTGGTGGTTTGGGTTTGGAACGAAACTCTGATCAATCTTTGCCTTCAGACAAACCCAGAGGCGTTGCAGAGTTCCTGATCGGCGGAAATCTGACTTGAATTCCAGTTTCCTTAAGAACAAAAGATTGTTTCCTGCTTTGTTCCGTCGCTGTCTTCGTCGTTGGGATTCCGTAAGTTGGGACCTGGCAAGTGACAAGCCGGTGTCTAAAGGGGTGGCTGTGACTGCTGCCGCGCACAGCTTCTGCTGCTCTTGTTAAGGATGGCCAGGAGTTCTTGAATTGAGGTTGACCCATCCCAGTCCGTGTGGTGGTGATGAGGGGGTGAATCCCAGGAGCGGGTTTTCCCTAAAGGCTGGTTATTCCAGTTTAAAAATACACTTCCAGACAACTCCAAGGCAGGGCAGAAAGTGAGCACAACCTCCTGTCCCGTCGGTCCCTGTAGGGATCTTTGTCTTTTCTATTTGATGTAAGGATCCATGGTGGGTTCTGGGTGTTATCCTCAATGTCCTGTCTAGAATCGATGTGGTCAAGGAATTCGGGAGCACCATGAAGGAGGGGAAATGGGAATCTCTTGCAGCAAAGCGCCGGCACGCAGCGAACAACAGGAGATCCCTGAGGAGGATCTCCTCCACCGAGGGTGCTGCACCCGATGGCATCGCGGTGTTCGGTCGGGTTCGTGGTGTTACTGGGAACAATTACGACATTGGATTTACTAGGTTTGCTTTGGGACTATGTTTTTTCCTGTATCGGATAGACCGTTAATTTATTTAATATCCATTGGTTTAGGTTCTTGACCTCTCCTTGAATATCTGTTAGTCATTTTAATATTTTATATATATATATGTGTGTGTAAATATATATATATATATTAGGAATGTATTGCATCTTCTCACTGATAAGGTAGTGTACATCAGACTTGCAGTAAATGATCTCCAAAGATTACTTTCTACAATATTTTTTCATGAATCTTTTTTCTTTCCCCCCCCCAAAATCTGTTCTTCAACATTTTTTTGGAATGTCTGCAGTAAGCTTAGGAATTGCTTTGGGATTCTAAGAGGAACTGGGGATGGGGAGGCCGAACACAAGGGAAGTGCCATCCCTTGTGAATGAATACCTAGCAAGGTAAGAGAAAACACACAAAGTGCCTTAAAGCCAGAAAGGGAACCCTTTACCTGAGACTTAGTGGGTGGACACTGGCATCGCAGCAGATGCTCTGTTGGGACCTGCCTGTCAATACCTGGCTCAGCAGAAACAAGAGCTAGAAACCAGCAAACGAGTCTATTTTTCTATGGATCCTCCAGGACCATCTTGTGTCATTGTTCTCAGCTCCTGCTCTTTGGGAAGTGGAGACCAGGGAAGAGAGAAACCGATGCTTAGGTCGTTGCCGTGTTTGAAGGGATCTTGTGGAGTAATTGCTATTCCAGTAGAAGAAATAACCATTGTTTACACGTGTATGGACTATGAACTGCAACTAGCGTAGAGTCGATGTCTTATAACGTTCATCGTTTTGGGTGACAGTCCCAAGGATGTAGGTACTTGGATGGAGTCAGTGCATGGAAAAAGCTTTTTTTTTTCCTTTTTTTTTCTTTTCCTTTTCATTTCTTTTTTTTTTTTTAAATTTGCTTCTAAGATGCAATAAAGATTTTTTATTTGCAACCAGAGCTCCTCCTGTCCCTGTGTGTCCGTTCAGCGCAGGCACCACCACCGCAGAGCCAGAGCGCCCGGGGAAGCGAGGCCAGGTGAGAGCATCTCCCTCTGACAAAGGGCTCTGGCCTCCGTGCTGGGCTCTGGCCTGCAGGGAACTTCCCACCACGCTCCTTGGCTCTGGTTCATCAGACTCCGGTGTTGGCTCCTGTGCTGTGAGCTGCGGCTCCCCGGGGCGGCCGCTCATCTGCAGCGAGGGGTTGGAGCTCTCCCTAGGGAGAGAAGTGCTTTTGCTCTCTGAGAACGCCCTTCACTGCACCTTTAAACTGCATCCAGTGACAGGGCTGGGTAACCCCATAGTGGTTTGTGTCCAAAACACAGCACAAATCATCACGGTGTCGAGCACTTTTAATGGCTCTGCCACTTTGATCCGTTCTGCGGGATCGCTGTGAGGCTTTTCTGTGTGAGAGTTAAGTCCCAAAGCAGGGATATTGGGGGTTACAGAAGTGTTTCTTCACACAGGGAAAAGGAGGAGAAAAGCAACAATTTGTGTGTGCAGAGAAGAGCTTGAAGAGTACGAACCCTGAGGAACTGCACTGAAAGACAGGGAAACAAACCCTGTACTTAACAGTGTACTTATCAACACCTGTGATGGTGTAAGGGCTTTTTTAGCCCCCTAACAGCTGGTAAAAGCCAAATGCATGTAAATGGAAGGAGCTGTTTAATGAAGAGCACCCATCCGGCTCTGGGGCTTCGTCCTCAGTCTCCACAGCTCTGGTTCTGTTACCAAACCTGTCCAGGCAGCACCACAGGTGAGTTTTGCACAGAGCTCTCTTGCAGCCCCGCATCAGAACTGAGCACAGATTTGATGGGCTTGCAGCTTAGGAGTGATGCATTTGGAGGTGAAGTTTCTGGTTATATCTGCCTAGGGTAAAGTCTGAGCTCGCAAACCCCAGTTTATGCTGAACCAAGCAGATTTGGCTGCCTGAGCTGTCAGAGCTTGACCCGGTGCAAGTCATCGGTTGGCAAATGCGAACCTGGCCTCTGACAAAGCCCTTCTGGGGCTGGAGCATTTACCTGCTGTTGGTTGGTTCAAGGGCAGTTTGCTTCATGCCAAGGAGCTGGCCTGGAGGCTTTGCCTCACATCCATTGGGAAGAACAAGGACCCAGGAGACAACGTGGTGCCTGCCTGAGACTGAAGCACTCGGTGACCGAGAGGCTTTCTCCGGGGTTGGCTCCATGGGGCAGTGCTGCTCTTCATTAAAGCCATTGAAAACACCGGGCACTCCTCTCTCAGAAGGTAACTGGGCTCAGGTGCTGTGCTGCTCATGGGATGCTCACTGCAATGCTCCTGCCCAGCCCCTCCCACCCATGGATTCCAAGCCTTCCTGCTGCCCATGGGTGCAAGCTCTGGAGGACAAAGCTCGGGAATGCTTTGCCATTCCCATCTTCCCAGGGCTCATGGTGACAGGTGGGGGTGGACAGGGGGGTTCTCACCCATGGGGGCTCCTGCTCAGCGGGTCGGTGGCTCCTTGTTCTGCTGGCCTGCAGGGGTGGCATGAAGCCAGTCAAGGTCCTTCCTTCTGGTTAGGGTATCAAAGGGGTGGGTTGGAGGCCTGGTCACCCCATGGGCTGTCAGGGGAATGGCCAAAATGGTCTCAAGTGGGGCACCTCACGCTTGGCTCTTTGCTCACCACTCACTGCAGTTCAATTGCACGTGAGGCTTCAGGGCGAGGCAAGGGGGGAGCTGGGTTTATTCCGTTTTCTGAAGCATTCCCCTCCCAGCAGCTCGTTTCCTTGCTCAAGGATCCATCGTGGACCACGAGGCAAAGGAGACGGAAAGTGGGCACGGTCCTGCCAGTGAGCACCGTGCTCCATGCGCAGATGGGCCAGGTCCCACCACGTTCCTCCTCCTCCTCCTCCTCCTCTGCTCTGGGATGTGGTGAGAGCTGGGCCCTGCATTGGGGCCTGCTTTAAGTGGATGTTTTCATACCAGCTCTGTGCTCCCAGTGCTGGTTACTGCCCTGAACTGAGCAAATCCAGGGTTTTGGTCCCAGTTGGTGTTCAGGGCCAGCCCCTCCATGGGGCATGGGCATCCCTGGGGACATCCCAGCCGCCATAGCCAGCACAGCACACAGCCACATCCCATGAGGGCTCCTTCCCCATCCCTTCACTGCCTCTCACCCGGCTGCTGCTGCCAGAAGCACTTCTATTCCTCACGTCCAGACTGCTGCCGGCACCTTCCCAAGTGCAAGAACCGTGTCCGCAGCCATTCCAAGCTCCCAGAGCCACCTCCCGGCTCTCCTCCAGCCCAGGAATCACCTTTTGAATCACCTTTATTGAGTTAACATCAACCAACCCCTGCAGAGCCAGCACTGGGCTGCCTGCGTTTGCTTTCACACCTGAACTCAATCAACCCCCTTAACTTTAATTGGTCTGAATCCCCTCCAGCATTCCAGCATGCTGGAATTGAGCATCCTGGGTATCGGGGCTGCTGGGAGAACTTTGCCGTGCTTCTCCCTGACTGCATGAGGAAAGGAACACAAAAGGTAAGGGTGCCTTTGGCTTTATTGACTGTTCAATAGAGGGCTCATGGTGAGGGCACAGGTGGAAGCAGTTCCACACCAGAACAACCCTCCAAAGCAAACGGGCTGCCGGAGGGGCAGGTAAAGGCTGTTGGCGCCGTGCTTTGGGCCGGGCAGGAGTGAAAGGTGGAGCTGGGGCAGGACCAGGATGGCCCCGGGGGACCCGAACGGCTGCAGATGTGCAGCTCCTGGGGCAGGTCCGTGCCCTGCTCGGGTGCCCACTGCCAGGATCGCTGTGCTGTGACCCCCAGTGCAGAGCACAGCCCCATCCCCATGGGCCATGGAGCTGCCCGATGGCTCCGGCTGCCTCCCAAGGCCCCAGAAGCTGGGTGCAGACAGGGCAGGTTTCTGTTTCTGGTAGAATTGGGCCCAATTTCCACTCCTGTCCTCACTCAGGGCCCCCCTCGCTGCAGCCATAAGGGCTGGACATCAGCGCAGTGGCCATCAAAAGGAGCCCCTTTTCCAGAGGTTCAGCCCAATGGGTCCCCCAAGGAAGGTTCATTGGGGCCGGGAGATGCTGAAGTGTTCAATAGCTCAGAAACCAGCCCAAATGCAGTGCCCAGGCCCTGGCAGAGCAGCATCCTCCTGCCTGTGGCAGTCCAAAGCCAGGGCCCTTGTGCCCATGAAGCCACTGAAGCCGAGGGTGCTGCGGGGCCGGGGTGAGCCGGGGACAGCCCGAAATAGCCACGGTATTTCCTGTCCCTCAAAGCCTGCTCAAAGAGAGCCGATTTCCTCCATCCCAGCGGCAGCAGAACACGGAGCAGCCACTGCTGCAGCCCCCTCGCACCTGAGGCCCCTCGCAAGGGTGAGGCTGAGCCCTGCTGGGACCCGGCCCTTGTTCTTCATCCAGCAAAGAAACAGCCAAACCCCGGCCGTGATCAGGGTCCAGGTGGTCACTGGTTGCTTTAATCTCATCTCGGAGCATCCGTTTCCCTCCCTGAGCCCTCTGCCTGTGCTGTCGGTACAATGAAACTGAGCTGTTTTCTCATCTCTCCTCAGGTGAAGGAATAATCCCCCACCTGGCCCCTGCCCTGGATTGGGTTTGGAGGCTGAAATCAAACAGCTTCCAAAAAAAGGCTTTTCCTGCTTCTAGCCTTGACTCCAGCGCTTTCCACAGGGATCATGGCGATGCCGCTGGCCTGTACCTGCCGCAGTGCAGGCGGGAGGGCTGGGAACGAGCATTGGAATCACACCTGAGCTGGCAGGGGGGTGGTGGTGGTGGTGGTAACTTC